GGGAGGTGTTCCAAAGGGCTCAGGTGTCATCATTCCCACTTCTCAGATGGGCAAACTGAGTGACCGCGAGTAAGCGTAAACGGCTTACAGGAAGAGTCATACAGGCCTAGACAGAGCATGTGGCTAGGATCAGAGCCTGCTCCCCAGCTTGGGGGTTTTCTCTGGGGACCAGCGTTTCTCCAGGTCTCTGCATGACACCAGCCCTCTTATAACCCAGGGGCAGTGCTATCTGAGGAGCAGACCTGACTGGCAAGTTGGGAGATCTGAGAGCAAGTTCTGGCTGCATTTTAGCTCTCTCCCCCTTACCTGGAAACCTTGAAGTCACACCTGTGCGGCTGGTGCAGGCAGCAGTGCTGGCCCCGCAGGGTGAGGATCACGGTCCTTACCGACTGACTTCCCCTGGGTCGCGGGCTCTGTAATACTCAACCCCGATGCAGAAACATTCATGGAGATTGGTGGGTTACTGTTACTACACCAAGGCCTCCTCTAACCTTCTCTCCCATATAAACGAAAGACTAAGGGCTCCCAACCCGTTATCTTCCATCTTTCTGGATTTCTTGAAATGGTTCAGTGATTTTCAGGATATATTATTCAGCACAGTGGCCCCAAACTCTGGCCCTTTGTCTACTTCTTTATGTCCTTCAAACTTTATGTCCTAAGAATAGTTTTTATATTTTTAAGTGGCTGAGAAAAATCAAAAGAAGCATAATGTTTCATGAGCTTTCAGAGTCCAAAAATAAAGGTTTTCAACACAGCCATGCCCACTTATTTATGTATTTTCCACTGTTACACTGTGACAGAGTAGCTGTTTTGGTATGGCAGAACTGGGTAGTAGTAATATAGACTATACAACCTACAAAGCTCAAAATTTAAACTGTCTGGCCATTCACAGAAGAAATTCAGTCTTTTAAACCAACTCCTAGTTTAGTGTAAATGGCAGACTACAGAATCAACCTATTTGCATAGCCACTCTGTACACACAAACTGAGAGAGAGAAAAATACTAGAATGGGGGTTATCTCTGGGTACTAAGGTTACATATAATTATTTGAATTTTTTTAAACCAAATCTGTTAATACAAAAGTATAAGAAAAGAATATTAATGACATTAATAAAATAACATTGCAGTCTCTTACTGTGGACAAGACACTGTTAGTTGTTGACGTGTTTTATTTCACCTAATCCCCCTTCCACAGTGTAGGTACCACTGTATCTCTCTACAGATGAGGGAAGAAGACTCAGGGAGTTTATGGAGCTTGCCCAAGGTCACAGTACTAGTGAGAAGCACTTGGTGTACTTACGATGAAAACACACTTGAGGAACAAAACAGAATGTGCTAAAAACAGAAACTGGTTTAGGAAGAGCACTTTACTAGAAGTCACAGAATCCCAGTCCTTACAGACAATGAGGAGGTTACAAATGCTTTCTTTGGGTGTGCACATATCTAGTCTACTTTAGTAAGCAGATACAATACATTGGGTTGGCCAAAAAGTTCATTGGAGATTTTCTGTACAATGTTAACGAAAACCAAAGGAACTTTTTGGCCAACCCAATATTTGTATGTACCTGAAAAATGGCAGAGAACCATGCTAATGGAGGGTGTATATCCAGAAGCATGTCAAGGCACGATGTGCTGACTTCCTGAGCTTTCCCATCAAATATTTCTTGACTTAGTAACAATATAAATGTCAAGAAATATTTGATAGGAGTATTGACTAAATTTCAATAGTCAGTTGACTTAACTATGGTGCTTCCACACTTGGAATGCGTGTGTTAAGTCACTTTAGTCACATGCGAAACTCTTTGCAACCCTATGGTCTGTAGCCCATCGGGCCCCTCTGTCCACGGGGATTCTCCAGGCAGAATACTGGAGTGGGTTGTCATGCCCTCCTCCAGGGGATCTTCCCGATCCAGGGATCGAACCTACATCTCTTATGTCTCCTGCACTGGCAGGCAGGTTCTTTACCACGAGCGCCACCAACCAGGCAATGACTGAGTGGTACTGATATGATTATATTTCTGCTGCCAGTTGGCATTGTGAGTTTGAGGCTGCTCTGTGGTGATGTAGGATTAAGCACATGACATGAAGAACTAATGCTGTCATCAATAGTGCCTTTGAGAACCAGGTTTCTAGAAAAAGGAGACACAGACCTAAGAAAGAAGTTAAATAAAATCCCCTGTAGTTTTTAATTTGAATGCAAAGTATCAGTATAGATTCATCATGTATTTTCATCAGAAACAACCACCACCTATTTCCTAGTTTTGGCCACTGGAAAAGTTTAAAAATGATGACCAACCCAGGAACAATGAATGCCTCTAAATGACCAGATTATCGTCTCTAAAAGTATTTCCCACTAAGAAGAACAAGGGATTCTTGGATTCTTGAAGAACTAGATGATTCCACGTCTGGGGAAGGGCTTGGATCATCTTAGCTTCCCTGATATTTGGATCACATCAAAGACTACCAGGGTCATGTCAGAAGGAGCCAACTGGCCAGAGATGGCACAGAGCAAGCAGCAATAACAATAATAAACAAAATGGGTTAAAACATAGCAAATATGCTTAAACCCATGGGTTTACAAGGATACTACAAAACACACAAAAACACCCTGATTGGTCATCATTGGAAGATGACAATAAGCTATTCATTATTTTTAAAATTGGCAAATAGAGGAAATGATTCAAACATATATTCCATCTTTCCTGTGTGAATTGTATTACTAGATAATCAAATGATAGATGTATTTGACTATTTGTATTTCACTTAATAAATGAAGAAAGAATGACAGGATTAGAACATCATTTTGTAACCCCTAATTAACTGATGGATCTCACTATGAACATCAATGGCTGCGAAAATCACAAAGGGAGACAACTAGACATCATGAGCCTTCTGATAAGACAGCACAGCACAGTCTGGGAAGTAGTCTTGCCACAAAAATCAAGCTAAAATCTGATTAAATATCTAAGTCAAACTAGCAATTTACAGGAAATGCAGATGGTAGGACACATTAAATAGCAACACAAGGTTGCAAACAGAAAAATCCAGACTGTGGAATCTCTCCAGCACAAAAGACCCAACTTCTTCCTTAAATAAATTGCAAGGGTGAGGAGAACATAAATGGAGCCTATAGATTACAATATACTTAAAAGAAAAGGCCATCTACATGTGTGGGCCTTATTTGGATTCTGATTCTGAATAAGAATTTCAAAATGGCATTTAGGAAATAGTATGAACTTGAACATTCGCACGACATTTGATGATATTAAGAGATAATCACTAATTTCTTAAGGTATTGCGGGAATGTTAAGACCAAAGGGTCAGTTTCTGTTAGAGATACATACCTAAGTATTTACAGATGGAAAGGTTAAGTCTTGGATTTGTTTTAAAACTAACAGTGAAAAAGTAGGTGGGGACACAGATAAAATGAGATTGGCATTATATTGATGATTGTTGAGGCTGGATGAGGGTTCAAAAAGTTTCTACTTTTCCATTAAAAAAATGCCCAAGTTTCAATAATAAAACATTAAAATAAATCCTTTCTGACATCTTGTTCAGAGAGCTAATACTGGGCAGGGAGTAGGATGGCTCTGACAAATACTCCTTCTCTCATGTTTCATGAATGATGGAGAGTTGAGTATTGTGCTTCAGATTGTTCATCTGGGGACTTCTGCATCACCCATGGAGCTTCTCCATCACCCACAGGGCTTCTCCATCACTTATGAAACATCTCCATCATTCTCCTCATCAGGATAATGTCACCATGTGCTTGGTACACATACACACACCCACACATACAAAAATCTATCAGGAAAAAAAAAAAAGATTTCTCATGACTTAAATATTTCACTTTGAAGCTGCAAAGTGTATGAGGGACTCAGGATTTCATAAAGCTAAGTCACTGAACTCTACAAAACCAAATCTACCTGGCCCAGGCATTCAGTGGAACTCATAACCAGGGGGTCACATGAAAAGACAGTTGTGGCATGGAGGCTGCGAAGTGTATCCATTCTGAAATTCTGAGCAAATAACAAGGCAAATTGGGATGGCGAGGACACCATTTCTCTTCTCATGCCATTATCTGCACCAGTGACTGAGTTTCCCAAGTTAGATGATAATGTCTGTGGGAGGGCAGTTCTCACCTGGGGACCCCCCAGGTGCGAGAAATGAAGAGGGTTGAGGAGACACAGCAAAACCTCAAGCCCTGTCACCGGGTGTGGGATGGTGGAAGGAAACAAAATTTAGGGGCCAGGAAGTGGGAAACGGATCTGATGTTTATCTCTAGAGATGGTGTCTCCCAGCCCTCAAGTTAAGCTTGTTAGGGTAGCTTCTGTTTCTCCACCAGCTTTGCCAGCATCTCTGTGCTAACTGTACTGTGCAGAGTTGTGTGTCCCCCCCGTCACCCCCGTGCCCGCCAACCCATGGGTTCCTTACACCCCAGAGCTCATTCACTTATCGGTGACATTGCCTTTTCCCTGCCTTTCTCTCCCACTAGCCTTTAACTTCCTCAAGGGCAGGGGCTTTGGTCTGTTCCCGATGGTATCTCATCACATGGCACAAGGCATGGAATACAGATGTGCTCCCCAAACATCACTGCAGGATTGGGGGGTCACAGTGCAGGGCAGTGGTCACGACCGTGGTCTTGACCCCTGGCCCGCCAGCCCACTCTCCCCACCTTGCTGATGCTGGGTTCTACTTTCCAGATTCTACCATGACTTACTATAGGACTTCGGGTTTTGTAAAACACTTCTGAGATTTTCCTGGAAAAGACACACACATAATGGTAAATGTCTATTTCTACATAATAACATGACTCACTTAGGAAAGCAGTCCTCCTGGAACTGCACGGCGCATCCATCTGGAATGGTCCCCATTGATGGCCTCATAAATAAAGGCCGAGTTATAACTACATACAACCTTGGATGTGTGTTCAAGGAGTGGGGTGGTGGAGTTGACACATGAACATCTCGGGACAGAACTATTTGATGAGATGAGCAAACCTGGGCATCTTCGAATGTGTATCTCCCTCCATCCTTGACATTCTGACTGGTTATCTCATAGCTGTGAGAATCCAGGTTGATTGCGCTTGGGGCCCCGGGAGCCAGAAACTCTTGCCAGATTTCTTCCACCCTCCTGGCCACATCCTGGAGGGGCTGTTTCTTGAGATCTTGGACTGCCAACCAGAACCTGAAACAGAAGCACAAGGACAGTTCGTTCCAGGGGCTCCGTCAGTAGCTGCTCTGTTGGACGTGGTCCCAGAACTGACATTGCATGGCACTAATTCTGTGTGCCCCAGCTGTCTCAGTAGCCATGTCCCAGGTCATGAAGGCTGCAGGGACTGCTGAGAATACAAAGGTGCTCCATCATTGCACTAAATGCATGTTAGAAGATCACCTTGCTTCTGGTTACCAAAAAGAGATTTTTCTCTACCTCACAGTTTTTCAGCCTCAGTACTGTTGCCATTTTGGGCTGGATAATTCTTGAAGAGTTGCCCTGTACATAGAAAGATATGTAGCAGCAACCTTGGGTTTGACCCATCAGATGCCAGGGGCATCCTTTCTGCACTTGTGACAACCAGAAAGTTTCTGGCCATTACCAGATGTCTTCTGGGAGGTAAATTCACCCTTGGGAGAGAACCACTGTTTGACAGAGAAGCCACCACCCAGACAATGTGAGTCCCTTTTGCATATCTGGTGGGGATCAGCTGGAGGTATTCAAAGGAAAGAAAGATCCCAGAAGCAATAGCATCTTGGAGCCATTAAGAATATTTGAGCTGGAAGGACCCAAGCATACACGCTGTTGATGGAGAAACAGCCTATTTGCAGCATCAATGTGGGCATGGTGTTCGGCATGTTCCCTGGAGGAGGGCATGGCAACCCACTCCAGCATTCTTGCCTGGAGAATCCAGGCAAGGACTGGGCTTGGACTGTAGCCTGCCAGGCTTCTCTGTCCACGGGCTTGCAAAGAGTTGGACACAACTGAGCAACTCAGCACAGCACAGGTGCCCAATAAATGTCTGATGGATTGCAGGTGGGTTCATCTGAAACAAAGCTGAAGGGACATATATCAGGGATCCCTCTACAAAAGATTCTCCAGGGATTGCTGGAGAGAGAAGCCTTCTGCTCACGACTATATTTGCCTTTCATGAATCCCTCAGCATCTGCATGGTGCCGGAGGGCTGGCGGGTGCTGTGAGCTCTTTTCTGCTGGGAACAGCAGCAGCCAGGGCCAAAGCTTGGACAACAGCTCCCTGGGTCGTGACGATGGTTCCCAAGGCAACCCTGGAGAGAGGGCTTTCAGCAGGACTCAGGTCTGGGTGGCACATTTTGTGTCCTGTGAACAAAACAGGCCAGTTTCCCCATCAACGAGAGGAGAGGACAGGTCCCAGGCTGTGTGGTTCCTGCAGCCACGGGAATCACACATACTCAAGGCAACGAAAGGGCAGGAACAAGAGAAGCTGAACCATGACATGGAGGAAGGTGCATTCAATCTGTCATTGAATTTCACCCAAAGTAAGAGGTACTCTTTTTTTTTTTTTTAAAGGTTAAGCATGTTTTTCTGTTGCTGTTCAGAGAGGTGTGTGAAGCCCTGTGCATGGCCTAAAGGTGCCACCCAGTGGCCAACTCGGGTAATGCAGCTTCATTTCCACCAGGAGAGACGGCTGGGGGGCGGGGTCGGGGGCGGGGTCTCTGCTTCTGGGTCTGTGTTTGTGAGAGACACGAGCTCCGTGAGCTCCAACTCTCCCCATGATTTACCATTTGGGATTCTGATCATCTCGCTAAAGAAAGCCCTCATGGTTCCCTCGCCAAGACCAAGAGGCAGGGAGGAGCCTTGCCGGCTTCACTCAACCGGAAGGTGAGGAAGTCCCAGCTGTGGCGCCCTCTTGGCATCGCTGTATCTTTCTGGGCCTCTCTCTCCTCCCGGCGCAGTGGGTACAGAGCAGGCGGAGGGGTATGTGGACGGGTCTGAGCACGTCCCATCCCGGTGTCGCTCCGAAATGCTCTCAGGCCCCGTGGGTGGGTGCTGCAGGGGCAGCCGCTTGGTGACCACAGGTCTGGGGGAGCCTGGGTGGGAAGGGCCCGGGGCTCCTGCCACTGACAGTGGCCTCACTTGCCCTTTAACACCAGCCCTCTATCTTTCTGCTCACGTCAGGTCTTTCGTAATCATGTCCTCTGGCTACCCAGGGAGAGGGAAACAGTAGCCAGTAGCCAGTCTTTAACCAGAGTCCAGATTGGGGGTGGGGGGGGGTGGGGGTGGCCAGAGTTCAAAGGGGGCTGTTAACTGTTCAGTTGTTCAGATGGGTCCTTGAAGCGCAGCCGGGAGGTCTCCTCCACCCCGTTGGCCATTCCCTAAGGCTCCCTCGGTCTCTGCCCACCCCCCCGCCACTCCCACCAAGGTCTGCCATGAAATGAAGGAGGTGGCCAAGTGCTTTCAAGTGAAAATGGTCAGCTGGTGATGACAGAACCTATAAAGGTTTTCTTCTCCCAGAGGACCATGTTTGATGGGCAGGTAAAATTCGGGAAATCGGCTCTAAAGAGAGGAGCTAGTGTTGGTTTTTCAAAGGCCTGGAAGGAGGGCTGACGTGAAGCTTGGTGAGTCCCTGGTAGCCCTAGGGAGTCACTTCTGGCTGAGTCCTGGGCTGGAAGCAACTCCTTTGGGCCAGCGTCCATCCCAAGCCTACCAGACTCTGCAATTTCTCACACAAATGATGACGCCCGGGCGATTTCCTGATGCCTCAGTCGGGGTCATGTGGGGGCCACCTTCTGTCCCTTGTCTCAGTCGGCTCTGAGACGGAGCTCTGGGGGGCCCCAAGGACCTTGCAGCTTCTGAAAGCCGCAGGCTCCCCATGACTCCTGAGGCCTCAGCAGTCCTTCCGGCAGAATGAGTTGGGAGCCACATTAATGCACATCACTCAGGTGGGTATAGAGGAGTCTGGAGCAGGTGGGAAGGGAAATTTCTGAATCAAATTTAATCAACTTTTACACACAAAATTAAAAGGTTCCCTTTATCAGATAAAACCAAGAATTAAAAATAAAGTGTAAAAAGAAACAGGCATGCTGGAGGGGGAGGAAGGGGACGGGGAGGACTGGGAAGAAGAGGGATGACACCCCCAGACAGCAGTGTTCTCTCCCTGCACGCATGGGGACCCTCTTGGCCTTCCGACTGCCTTGGAGATGATGTGCCTTATCTCTCTCAGGTGACAGTAAAAATGCTGTCACAACACCATCCTGACATCCAGTATGTGTTTCTCATCACCGGCTTTGAAGAAGCTTTGTGCCAGTTTGAAATTCAGTACAGGCTTGGTTTCCCCTGTGGCTTAGCTGGTAAAGAATCCACCCCCAATGTGGGAGACCTGGGTTCGATCCCTGGGTTGGGAAGATCCCCTGGAGAAGGGAAAGGCTACCCACCCACTCCAGTATTCTGGCCTGGAGAATTCCATGGACTGTATAGTCTGTGGGGTCGCAAAGAGTCAGACGTGACTGAGCGACTTTCACTTTCACAGGCTTGGTTTGTATCAGCCATCTGTGAGCCCACGGGCCTGAGCTGGGGGCCTGAGCCCTGGCTGCCCAGCCACCCTCCCCTCAAAAAAGCCCTAGAAGCGCCCCTTGCCTATCTCTTGCAGACGGATGGGAGGCCCACTGAGGCCTGCGCGTCCCGCTCTTATCACAAGCCCGCAGGTACTGCTGCTCCTCCAGGACGCCAGCGGGGAGGAGACTGTCAGAGGCCCCGGACCCACCCACCCTGCATAAGCCGCTGTGGCTTCTGGCGGCCGAAGGGCTGTCACGACTGGCAGGTCGGGAGGGTGCGTGGGTGCCAGTGAGACCACCTGTCCTGCTTTGCCAGAGTCGGCAGAGGCGGGGGAGGCAGCCCAGGGCTGACATCGGATCCGCGTCACCGGCTTAGGAATGCCGGGGGCAACTGGCCTTCTCGGGGAGGCAGCCTGGGCTCAGACCCCCCGCCCCGGACCGAGCAGCTGTGGGTGGGACTTGAGGGCCGTCCAGGGCTACCCCAGGCCTCTGTCTCCCGCGGGGCCGGGGTGCTGACATGGAACGGGGTCTCCTCCTCAAGGCTGGCTGCAACAAGGGGAACCATGAAGCATTGGGCGGTGCTCCGTCCTTCCGGGAGGTCTGGCCAGGCCCTGGTTTCTTGCTTACCTATCTTCTCATCAACTAGGACTGTCATGTGTTAAAAAAAAACCCAGCTTTTCATTTGTTCCCAGGGAAAAGGCAATTCCACAAAGAACGAAGGGCTTCTATGCCCTCTGCTGGTCAACAAAGACTCAGGAACATCTGTTGTCACTTGACTTAGTCTCTGCTTGGGCTGGAGTCTCACCACCAGCAGCACCACCCGAGCTGAGTGATGTTTCACGGGGCGGTGGCCGAAATGCCACAGGTTGTCCGAGTGCCGTGTGAGCACCTCTCTTCCCATGAACCATGTGTTGGGTTCTCGGGGAAGCCCACGGGGCCTGGCCCACCTCCCGGGGTCTTCCTAGGACTCGGGGCAACTGGGAGGCTGGAGCACTCCAAGACAAACTGCTAACACTCCTGCGCTCTCTTTAATTGCTTCTCCCTTCAGCTGACACTGTGTGGAACCAGGATAATCAATCTGCAGGTTAGAAGAACAACCATGTTCTCTCAGGAGACGTTACAGCTCATAAAAAATGTACGGGGGACGCTCTTGGCTGCGGGTTTTGATTTTTAACTCGTGCCCTCCCGAGTGGCAGTGGTGGTCAAGTCAGGGAGGATGAAGACTTGTGCAGGTGGTAGGACTTCCCTGGTGATCTGGTGGTTGAGACCCTGCGCTTCCACGGCAGGGGGTGTGGGTTCGACCCCTGGTCTGGGAACTAAGATCCTGCATGAACTAAGATCCTGCGTGCCTCTCGGCACAACCGAAAAAAAAAAAAAAAAAGATTTGTGTGCAAGAAAGGTGGCAAGGGGTAAGGGGTTCCTGTCACCCTTCTAGGAAAACGCACAGAGAAAAGAGGGACCAAGGCAGACCACAGAGAAAAGAGAGGGACCGAGCTAGACCACTCCGTGGGGCCCTCTGCTTCAGAACCAAGAGGCCCCACCTTGCATGCATTCTAGAGGCTCTGAGCAAACAGCTGTCTCCCGGTGCCCACCCTATCCAAATGGAGCCCTGGGCTCAGCCCAGGGATCTGCAAACAGCCTACCACCACGAGCCTTGCTGTCTGCCACAAATGCCCTGGCCACGTGGCCTCCTGTACTTGGAGGTGTTGCCTCTGCCTCATCTCACAGACTCAGCCCCCAAAAAATGATGAAAGAAGGCGTCAACTTGTATGATCACAGACATCTTTCCTTAAAGGATCCCGGGTGACCTTTTGCTGTGGTGAGAACAACACCTATGACTCTTTCGGGCTCTTCTGCTCTGTATTCAATCTCAGGCAGAGATTGAACCACTTGGCTGGTGAGCTGGCAAGATTTCTCTAGGTGTCATGCAAAAACATCACGCTCCAAGTACCCCTTTCACTGGAGAGATGCAAAGGAGCTCGGGGAGACAGACGTGGAAAAACCTTTGCAGTGGATCCAGTTGAGTCCCGGTCAGTCTCTCTTTCCCGGCCCTGCTCCAAGACCAGCTGCCTGGGCTTGACCAGTCCGGGGGAGGAAGGACCATGCCAACGTGGCCAGCACCACAGATGGGCAGTGTCCTCGAGCTGAGCCACAAGGCATGGCCCTGGCGTCCACCCTTCACAGGGACCACAGGGGAGGTGCAGCCACAGGGCCCCTTGAGGATGCCCTGGGTGAGGGGTGAGATGCGTTCAACTCTGCACCCTCAGGACCTGGGTCACAGCAGACGCCAAGCTGGGATCTGTGGCCACAGGAATGATGCAAAAGAAGGGGGAAGAAAGGACCTGGTTCTGGGTGACCCAAGAGTCCTAAAGTTGTGTGATTTAAAACCAAAGCTTCCCCCATATATCCAATTATGCTGAATATCATACAAGTAGAATTTGGGCTTGCAGAGAGGATTTTAGAAGCTCTTGGGCTATACTTTTTAATCTCAGGCTGTTCTATTTCCTTTATCCGCTGTCATGGATCAGAAGGGACCCTCTTTAAGTCTGGATTTCTGCATTCACGCTGGGGGTGGAGATTAGTTACTGCATGCTCACACCCGCTCACATGCACTCTCACCCAGGACTGACTGCAGCCATCCTGGAGCGAGGCGCTGGCAGAGTATGGTGGTAAGGCAGGAGGAAGCGCTGACACCTGCCAGGGATACCTCCTCTGTGTGCCCCTGGCCTGAAACGCATGCGGATTGCATGGTCCTGGCTACACTCAGACAGGGCAAGGCAGCGCTGAAACAGCCGATGTTCCTGCCCCAGGGCCCCTCACAAGGACCAGGATGCTGTGGTCATCCTTCCAAATCTCCACAATGGTGCAGGTGGCTGAGAAATAGCCAGGTTAAGGGAGCCTCTATACAGCTCCATGGGCTTTAGGAATAGCTCAGTTGGTAAAGAATCCACCTGCAGTACAGGAGACCCAGGTTCAATCCCTGAGTGGGGAAGATCCCCTGGAGAAGGAAGTGGCAACCCACTCCAGTATTCTTGCCTGGAAAATCCCATGGACAGAGGAGCCTGGCTACAGTCCATGGGGTTGCCCAGAGTTGGACATGACTTTGTGACTAAACCACAAATCACACACCACTCCATCTTGGGGACCCCATGGACAGGGATGAGCAGGGAACACAGAAAACCCCCAGGGCTGGCTCATGGGGACCAAGCTGAGGATGGGGTTTGAGGCTGGACTAGTCATGCAGAGTCTGCCTGGGCATAGCATGCTGGCCACAGAGGGGGTGGTCCCCCCACCCCCAGGACACCTGCAGGCCTAGGAGGCTGGTCTGAGCACCATCCTGATAAAGAGGTCTAGAGTCAAGCCTTCTATTACAGATACTCAATTAGGAATTGAAGCAAAGAGTAGAATAATGCCTCAGCACAAGAAAAGAGCTCTTCTGTGTCATAACCCAAAATCAGATATTCAACCTTATCTGGTTTACAGTAGGTACACGGCTGCCTGGAACAGCCTTGCTATTCCAGTTAATCAGCATCTCCCCATCCTCCCAGGACTGCGTGGTATGGGAGGGTCACCTCCCCCCCACCAGCTCTGCTCTCAGGGTCTTTCAACGGAGAGCAGCCCCCCTCCCTCTTTCTTTGCTACATGAGTATCTTGTACCCTCTTCAAAGCCCAGCTTATGATGTGTCTACTCTGGTAGGATGTTTTGAAAACATTACCAAAATGGTTCTCAGAGTTTACACTCATTTATATTCATTTAATGATGTAAGGATTTCTTGTGTGTTTTCCTCAAAGACTGACAAAGTTGCTGTAGGCAAAGATCATGCATCTTATCTTCCTTACATCCCCTCAGCAGATTCTTGGGGGCTGGAGACAGCATAGGTGTGTGATAAGTATCATTTGATTGATGTACAGGACTGATATGGTCTCCAACTCCAAATATATAACATGGATTTTGCACATTAACACGAGAGCACACAGTCTTTTGTTCACAGCATATGATCTTTTTAAAGTAAAAAAAAATTAATAAAGTCACTCCTTGGAAAAATGCCATTGGAAGATGGGAATTAACCTTGTATGTAAAAGAGAGCCTGGTGCCAAGAAAACACTGAGATTTCCATCTCACCCACTGGGAAGCCATCACTTGGCTAAGATGAGTCAGGGTCTTAGATAAGTCACATTTTCTGTATGTCTCTGTCTCTACATCTAATACAATGAAAGCCTGAATAAATCCTGGGTTACTCAGTTTTGCGTGACCATGATCCCTACCCGTTTTTACAAGCTCCCTTTCCTTTCTCTTACAATGAACGCCATGTTTTGAAAGTTTTTTTTTTTTCCTACTAAACAGTAACTATCAACACGTTAGTACATTTCCCCCATCTTGATTACTGATAGACCAATAGAACAATCAATGTTTTCATTGGTGTCAAGTGACCAGAGTAACCACTACGTGGAGTTGCTAGAATTCCCCCCAAAAGGAAAAGTATATTTTAATTAGCTTTTATAGGTAGTCTCCAGTTCTTGAACAGTATTTACTGTGACTTTTTGAAATTCTGAAGTGAGCCCACTGACCCCTCTTTCTTCTGGTGAGCCTGTCAAGTGTTCAGGACCCCAGAGACTGGAAAGTTTTAAAGGGGAAGGTCTCTGAGCTCCCTTTCTGCCATGGAATTCCATGGCTTTATGGTTTTAGTGAAAGGATGGTGTCATTAAATCCATTCGACCATTGACTTATTATTGAAGACACATTTCCAATGGCTTGAACACATGTCATCTGGATTTAAAGAACCAAAAATTGTGGTGTTGGTGGGTGCTCATCCAGTGATAATAAAGCTTGAACATAAAGTTTGTTCTCTAACCTTGACCACATTAATTGGAATTGGAATTTGAGCCATAACATTTGACTGAGAAAGGGAGGTGGTGAGAGAAACTGATGATGCAAATTGCTTCATATACTCTCTGCACACAACTCAAACCTTGGAGAGATGTACCTGAGGTTTTCTGAACTGAATTCCGACTCCAGGAATCGTAGAAACTGGTCCTGCCCCACCTGGTCCTTCAAGATCTCATCGAAAGAGAAGCCCCATCTCTTCACTCGCTGCTGGCTGGGCTCTTTGCTTTGGGAGAGGGAACAAAGGTGGTCAATACCAGGCAGAAACCTGTGGCACAGTTTCTTCAACAACTCAAATTTATTTAGCTGTCACAGGCCAAAGGGAAATGTCTCATTTAAGTAACAGATTCCATCAAACCTGCATAAATCCTAAATGCAGACTTTTGTAGACCAACACTAGCCAAGGGTAAAAAGTCTCTTTAAAGAAGGTGTTTGAAAGGGGCCACATTGAGGGGATGCTTGCCAAGTGCTGCTTACAGGACATATAAAAACTCCACTGATTTGGCTTCCCTGGGCCACTCCTGTCAGTCATAGGTCCAACTCTTGACTCCATCATTTTTTTTTCCACTTAAAAACTGAGGATGCTTTGTGAATCTGATCTTTCATCAAAGATGCTGCCCCCACCTCCTGCTCCTTCCTCAATTCCCAGGGGACAAACAGAGTCCAGTTTAGAACCAAGTGATGTTCAACTGATCAGAACTATGTCAACTCATCCTGGATAAACCCAATACAGGTGCTTAGAAGCAGAATGTTGCATCCATTCATTGATTTAACCAGCACCTGCACAGTATCTACAAAGGTCTAGGCATCGTTCCCAGCCTTCACACCTGTTAACTCACTGAGTCCTTAAAACTACTCTGAAAAATGTACTAACACTGTCCCCATTTTGCAGACAGAGAAACTCAGGCCTGGTGACAATTTACCCAAAGACACAGTAGGAGGGGATGGAGTTGAGGCTCAAGTCCAGAGAGCGTGGTTCCAGAACACAGCTCTCAGCTCTGCTATGCTGCCTCACGTCCATGGGACTCTCTCCAAACCAAAGTGTAGGGAGGGGGGACAGAGAGTTGTTCTTATTCATTTGGTGTTAGAAGATGAAAATATTTCCTTCCGCTTCTGTCTTTCCATTTACAGTTCCTTTGCTGTATTTACTCCTCTGACTTCTTCAAGCAGCAATAGGTTTCTAGTTCATGAGCTATATACTGCTATCTCTCACTCAAGTGGTAGTCTATGGACCAGCAGCATAATCTCAGGACCCATCTCAGGCCCATGGAATTGAAATCCACAGCTTAGCAAGATCCCTGGGTGATTTAAGTGCACATTAAACTCTAAGACACATTGGTCTAGCAATATTTATCCCCCCCTTTTTTGATATCCATTGATTTATTGATGTTTAATTTAGGTCCAGAAAGAATCAGAGGTTTACAAGAACACACAATTACAAAACCAAAACAACAATAACAAAATCCCCAAACCCTTAAACATAGGCAAGTATGATAATAAGAAGCAGTGATGGTAAGTCTTGGGTGGTGTTGTTTAGTTGCTACATCATATCCAACTCTTTTGTGACCCCATGGACTGTAGCTCACTAGTTTCCACTGTCCATGGGATTTCTCAGGCAAGCATACTGGAGTGGGTTGCCATTTCCTCCTTCAGGAGATCTTCCCAACCCAGAGATCGAACCCTTATCTCCTGTATTGGCAGGTGGGTTCTTTACCACTGAGCCACCAGGGAAACCCAAATATAGGAAAGAATAGTAATAAAAACAAGTGATGATAAGTCTTAGTAGGGGATGGTTATTATACCAGAAAACCTAGGCTAGGGGAACTACCGCCAGTGAACAAAAAAAATTTTTAGAGCTTCCTTGGAGCCAAGACAAAGAGAGATTTGAATGGATTACACCACTCTCAACATTTGAAAGAGGTAATATGTAAGTTTGTCAGTAAAGACTACTTTTGCTCTAGTATTGAATTATAAGAGGAATTGTCTCACAAGTCTTTACATAAGGGGCACTGAAACACAATGAATGATATTTCTGATACCTTTATTTAAAAAAAAAAGTGCAGGAAACTTTTACATACAGCTATTGGATTGCCAAAAAGTTCATTTGGGTTTTTTCATAACATGCAAACTTTTCAGAGTTTAATATGCACTTAAATCACTCAGGGATCTTGTTAAGCTGGGAATTCCAATTCTATGTGTCTGAGGTGGGGCTAAGATTCCACTGCTGGTCCACCACTTGAGTGGGAGATAACAGCATGTGTCTGTGAACTAAATACTTTCAAAAAAAGTCAAAAGCATAATGTTAAATTCTAGGGTGGTGAAGGTATATCTCTGGAGAGCCAAATAATGCAGTATGTAGCTTCATTGTCATGGAGGGCATGGCAACCCACTCCAGTATTCTTGCCTGGAGAATCCCCATGGACAGAGGAATCCGGCGGGCTATATAGTCCATGGGGTTGCAAAGAGTCTGACACAACTGAGCGACTAAGCACAGCACAGAACAGCTTCATTGCCACTTGGCTTGAAACAAGAAAACTTCAAAAACTGGTGGAGAAAATATTCCATTCATTTTCAGGCTTTTTGCAGGAGCTCAACAGTAGCCATCTCTTCACTCCCCAAGTCCAAACATATTCTCCCCATGAAGCTCTGTTGCCAAGGACGGAAGGTGGAAACAGAAAGCATGTTGGTGTGGAATGAATGCTAGCCACATTAAAAGGCTCTTGCCCACAGGGTTCAGAACCACCACACTGTAGCCTCAGCAAATGATGTGAAGAAGGTGCATTTTATCTGCAAGCACCAAGCTATGAGCCCTGCACTGTAGCACAGTGTACTGCAATGACATCCACATATTTCCCTTCTTTTTAAAAATAGACACAAACTTTTTTATGGTGTCTTCTATGGAATTTCTCAGGCAAGAAGACTGGAGTGGGTTACCATGCCCTCCTCTAGAGGATCTTCCCAACCCAGGGATCAAACCCAGGTCTCCCACATTGCAGGCAGATTCTTTACCATTTGAGCCACCAACAATGAGGAATTTCAAGAAAGATCTTTTCCCAAAGTTCCAGGCTGGGCTTTCTGTAAAGAGCCAAGAAGACAGATCCTAGATTCTCTCAAACTCAAGCCACAGAATCAAACTCAACAGCTTTCCAGAGGACAAAAAGCGCTGTTACTATCCCCACGCTGGGGTCAAGGCGAGCAGTAAATGGAAGCCCCACCGAGCTGCAGGAACGCATCTGCTTCTGCCAGGGTCATGCTGTGACCTGGGATGGCCACCAAGGTTGCAGGGCTCTTCGGGGATGGTGTTGATGACAGCTGTACCCCAATCAGTGGCTGTGTCCAGACAGCCAGGTGTGGAAAGTTGCTCAGTCTTTGAAGTGACTGCGTTATGGACACACGTCCACCACCAGTGTCACCACTTTCTGGTTTGCAAGCAGTGAGTCCGCATTCATCCCACCAGCTTCCTTGGTGGTGGCAGGGGAAGGGTGGTGGAGGATAAGTGCCATTTTGGGAGTAAGCCAGAGAGCCAGGGGTGTCACCAGATGCAGAATCAGAAGCCTAGGACAGATGTTTAGACATACAGAATGCTGCAAATCCAGCCTTCAGCAGAAACAAGGTGTTTTGGAGAGATAGGCCTGAAACCACCCTGGTGTGGTGGTTTCCTAGTTGGCCAACATACCAACAAACTGGAAGGCTTAAAATAGAAATGTATTCTCTCACAGCTCTGAAGGCTAGAAATCTGAAGTCAAGGAGTTAACTGGGCCACACTCTCTCTGAAGGCTCTAGAGGAAAACCTGTTCCATGCCTTCCTCTTAGCTTCTGATGCTGCCAGAAATCCTTGGCATCCATGGCCTGCTCATGCATTACTGCAATCTCTGCCTCTGTCATCACATGGTATTCTGTCTCTGTACCTGGTTTTTCACATGGCATTTACTCTGTATGCGCCAGTGTTTCTGTTTTCTCTCCTTATCAGTCATATTGGATTGGACTTCCCTGGTGGCTCAGTGGTAAAGAACCCGCCTGCCAATGCAGTCAACTAGGGTTCAATCCCTGGGTTGGGAAGATCCCCTGTGCAGAAAACAGCAACTCACTCCAACATTCTTGCCTTGGGAATCTCATGGACAGAGGAGCCTGGCAATCTACAGTCCATGGGGTTGAAAAAAGAGTTGGACACAACTCTTAGCCACTAAACAACAACAGCAACATATTGGATTAAGTGTTTACTCAATCCCAGGATGACCTCATCTTAGCTAATCACATCTTTAATGGTCCTGTTTCCAAATAAAGTCACATTCTGAGATTCTGGGAAGGACTTGAATTTTTAGGTGACACTATTCAACCTAGTACATCTGGGTTCCTTCAATTATTCATTATTCACAATCCTATTTCTGTGTCTGGACACCCTACATCTGCTCCTTTTCTTCTAATAATCTGGTCATTGGGGTCTATTCTATTAAATGCTTCTTGGATACAACATTTCTATACATGTCTTTCTTGTACCTCTTGGTTATTTCCAAGCATCATCCCTTTGAAGGCTCAAGGTCAGATGTGAACATGTTGCTACCATGGAATGTTCTCTGTGGTTGTAAAATAATTCTGAAAAGTTATCTCTGGACATTTATCCCCAGGTGACTGGTATAATAACTTTCCCTTGGCTTCACTCAGATAATCCATGGAACTCACAGCCCCTCTATTTTCATCCATTGTATAGAAAGGCTTTCTCATGACACATCTCTAATTATGGTTTTGTACCATCACTTGACTTTTAAAGAGTTTATGTCATTGTCTCTGCAGCTATCTTGTGAGCTCTCTGAGGGCAGAGACCACATCTTTGTATTTATCATAGTGCTTTTCACACAGCAAGTGTTTAGCACTAAAGGGAAATCAGTAAGAAAATGTGTACAGTAATGTGTGGATGATGTGTCCTTATATTGACATTGATGTGTCCTTATATTTCTAATTGCTAGCTGGATGACTTTTTCCTACTCTAATTTCTCTTCCGTGCCCATTGCTTCTCACCAATTCCTGCCTCCCACTGAACAGCCCAAATTAACACAGCCAAGACAGGTGGCTCTCCCAGGGAGTCTGTCTTTCATTCTAGCTGTTTGCCCAAATCGAGAACAACAAAGACAGATTCAGAATAAGCATCTATCTATAAAAACATCCAGCTATCTTCAAAAGGTTTTGAGTTACTGGAAAATTTATGAAATGAGGGATTGTTCCTTAAAG